AATGGCATCTAAGCCTACTCCTGAGGCATCTGTGTGCAGAAAAAATCATCGTTTGAAATCGGATATCATAGGATTGGGGCCGAAATTAAGTATCGTTTGAGAGTGTTGAAAGATTGTTGCTGATTGTTAGTCTAGTTGTATTGTTCGTCTTTTTGAAGTAATTGATGCAGGTGTTTTGCAATTGTTGCAAAATTTTTAATAAATTTGCGGTAATATGATAATAAACCCAAAAAACTGTGTAATTGTCATATGTTGTAGGGCACCAGAAAATTTTGCACTTTGTCTACTTTAGCCTTGTCTGGTTGAATTCCATCTTTGCCAACTATGTGGCCTAAAAAATGTAGGTTTTGTAAAAAAAATTGGCACTTTTCTAAGTTTAACTTAAGACCTGCATTGCTTATTTGTTGAAATACTAAATTCAAATGGTTAATGTGTTCTGAAAAGGTATGAGAGTAAATATTAATATCGTCGAGATACACTGCGACGAATTTACCAACAAAAGGACCAAGAATTCTATCCATCAGTCTCTGAAACGTCGCCGAGGCGTTACAGAGATCGAAAGGCATGACTGTAAATTCGAAGGTTCCATATTTCGTAACAAACGCCGTTTTTTCACAGTCTTTTTCGTTCATTTGGACCTGCCAGTAGCCACTGGCAAGGTCCAAGCTACTAAACCATTGAGCACCGCCGAAAGCTTCCAAAAGATTGTCGATGTGTGGGATGGTGTATGCATCTTTTTTTGTAACTTTGTTCAAACGCCTATAATCAACGCACATTCTCAAGTTTCCATTTTTTTTCGGCACCAACACTATAGGTGATGCCTATAGACTGAACGATTCCTTAATTAAGCCTTTTTCTTTTAGCTTCTCCAACTCTTTATGCACAAAGTCTTGTTCATTTGGGGCCAATCGATACGGCGGTTGCTTGATGGGTTCGGCATCTTGGGTCTTGATCACGTGTTTAACGAGGTTTGTTCGTCCAAGTTCTTCTAGTCTATTTGCAAATAAGTTCTTATTGTTTTTAAATAACTCTTTTACGCTCTCTTTATATTTTTCTTCAATATTTGTATCATCAATGATCTTATTTAATTGTTCTTCTATTGTTGGTTTTTCATCGGCGAGTACTTTCTTATTGGTTGGAATTTCTTCCATCACCACCAAACATACAGCCGGGCTTTCAATTTCAACTATTTTTGTATCCTTTTTTTTTTTTACAATACTTTCTTCATCGGATGATATACAATCAGACGAAAAACTTTCAAGTTCTTCAAGCTTTTCACTTTCCTACTCAAGTTCATCAAACAATTCATCGGCGTCGTCTTCATCGTGGTCACCTGATTCATCAATTTCCAGTATTTGTGCTTTTTGCTTGCCTTTATCCATATGCATTATAGGTACTTCAACCCTTTTTCCTAAATATCTGATAACTAATTTTTGTTCGTCAAAGTCTAGCATGGCTCTAGCTTTTTGGAACCAATCAGTTCCTAATAACAATGTTTCATCAACCAATTCCAAGACTTGAAGTGCCGTAGGTATTCTTACATTTGAAATATCGATGTTGACTTTCGTAATTTTGCCTAAGGTACGCTCTCTTGCTCCTGTTGCAGTTACAACTACGGTTCTTGATTCTTCGTTAATTCTAAATCCCAATCAGTCTGCCAACCTTTTTGTTATGATACTTACGGCTGCGCCTGTATCTAATATGGCAATCACGGGATTATCACCAATTTGTATATAATATTTCGCAGCCGTAGTACATGAGTTGGTTGAGGGTCTACAAGGTTTGCTTCTTTAGACTTAGGGGGGCTCCTCATAACCTTAGCTATGTTCCTGCGTTGATTTGGGTATTGTAGGAGTTGTCCAAACATAGCATTTGCTTTCATGGCCAAAATATCATTGGCAATATTGTATGGTTCAAGTTTATCAACAATCGATGGTCCCCTTTTTCGCCTAGGTTTACTCAAATTTTTGGGGGCAGAGAGAAGTACTTCGATGTCGTTTTTCGAAGCCATTATTTCGTCGAAATTTAACGGAGGTGGGGACACCATTCTCTTTCTTTTACGTTTCTGGTTTTCTGCATTATTTTTGGGAGAGCGACCTCTTCATTTTTCAGTAATTGGTTGGTCCATATTATATAGTTCTTCTACCCATACGTCGTTATCGTCGATTTCTTCGGTCGCTTCACAATAATTAACTTTCTTGGGTTGAGAATTCTCGTTATATTCATATTTTTGTGCTTGATTATTTTTAGGAAGGGTGCAATTTCGTGCAATATGGCCTTTCTTATTGCAGTTGAAGCATACAATATCGGGGTTTCGTGGACGTTGGTTGCTTTGATGCCTTTGATTGGGCTGATAAGCTT